GGGAAAAAGGCATCTATTACCTTCTTGGGGAAGATGCTTCAGAGGATGCAAAAACCCCATCTGAATCTACAGGCAATGCAATACTGCATGTGCCAGCCAGGCAGTTTTATGCACTTAAAAATGCCTTATAACAGGACTGGGAATGACACTAAACATTTGATCATATCAGAACCCGTACAAACAGCTGTCAAGTACAAAAAGCAGCAAATGGACAGTAAAACATAAAGCCTGAAAACATTTCTGGAAATGCTGAGGGAGCAGAGAACAAGCAAAGGAGAGAAGCCCAAGTATCATGAAGTTACATCCATACTCCTCAGATTTGGGGTCTGTTGAACTGATGTTGTCACTGAAGGAATTTTAGGACCACTCTCACTTCAGGAGTGTGTCCCCTGGCCCCTTTCTGGGCAGCACAGCTCTGCCCCAGACACAGCAAAGCCACATCACAAGTGCCTGGGGACAAAACCCTCCCTGCCACCAACAGGTCCCTCTGCCAGAGGCTGGGAGTAAAGCCAGTCCCACCATTTCTTCCCAGCAGAATAAGGACTCCCTTCAGGGTTTGCTCAGTCAAGAGGACACTCCAGCTGGCTGCACTCCCCCAGAAGCCTGCACTCCTGTGTATCCATCCTGCCACGCCAGCCACAGCAGAGCCACTCGCTCTTGCAGAGAGGGTGAGCTGGCTGTGAGATCCCTCAGGCAGCCCATTTCAAAGCCTTTCATTGGGAAGGCCAGGCACATTCCACTTCAGACAAAAACCCTGCCTGACAAACAGCCTTGTTCCTCAGATCCCTGGCTGGACTAAGGAAAGAAAAAAAAAAAAAAAAAAAAGGAAAAAAAAGAAAAAGGAAAGGAAAAAAAAAAAGAGGCCATGGAATCCCAGATCTCCTCAGGGAAAATTGTCTCTGTGTGCATCAGTGTGTCTATACCTGGCATTTGTTCTTATAAAAACAACTAAGAAAAAGTCTTATTTAAAAAAATCTTATGTTGAGGATTTATAGAAGCACAGTAGAAATGTTGAGAAATGCCAGATATCCCTCACGGGAATAAATCCTGTGAGATGCTGAACATTATCACCTCCTTCTGAATAAGGCAATTTAAACCCCTGGATCACAATTTAGGTTTCCTCATATTATCAGCCCCATGTTCACAATCAAGATGAACTCTTTGGAATCAGGTACCAGCCTACTGCTTCCCATTATCAGAAGTAGTTGTTGTTTTGGTTTGTTTTTTTTTGTTGGTTTTTTTTGTTTTGTTTTGTTTTGTTTTGTTTTTGTTTTTTTTGTTTTGTTTGTTTGGTTTTTTTTGTGGGGATTTTTAAATACATTTATGAATAGTTTGTTTGTTTGTTTGTTTGTTTGTTTTTGTGGGGATTTTAAAATACATTTATGAATAGAATAATGCTGTAAGTGAAACCTCTGTCTATATATTGCAAAAAGCCACATCTGTTCCCACAGAGTGAACCATGCAGGATTAGCCTAACAAATTCTGCTGTAAATGAGATTCATAGCATCTTACTATACCTAGGAAGAGCAAAATGCAGGGTAGCTGCTGAAATAGATCTGCCTGGCCTTTCCCAGGCTCAAATCCATCCATCCATCCATCCATCCATCCATCCATCCATCCATCCATCCATCCATCCATCCATCCATCCCAAAGCAGAACTAGGCCTACCATGAACCAAAAAGAAACATAAGAAAATAATTTCCACATTGTATGCTTTGCCACCTTCTCTGCTCCAGAGGGGTCAGAATTCAGTGTGGACATAGAACTGCACCTCCTAATCATAGAGGAAAGAGATTAAAGAGTCTCAAAAATAATTTTCTGTTGAACAGATTTTATTAGACAAAATTTCTCCCATGTGGAGAACAGGATGCTGGAATGGAAATAGCTTAACCCATTTTATAAATTGGCATGAATCAAGGTAAACAGCAGGTGTTGAACAGGCTCCAGAATGCTGTTTGCATGCTTCACTTACTCTATCATGATATAATTTTATCACTGTTGATTAACTAATTTTGTTAGCATCTAGAGTAGTCACCTATCAGGGCCTTGAGGTCTCCAATTACTTCTTTGCCAAAGTTATGACCTACTTATACATCATCCAATTACCTAAGAGTGACAATAAAAATCACACCTTGTAGTAAAACTGCAAGAGTGAAAGTCAGGAAATGGAAATTTCTCCCCAGCTCTGTTACTCACTTGCTGTTTGTGGCCAGCTCAGGCCACAGTTTCTTCATTTCCACTAATCTGGGAATTCCTGTTTCAGACAATCAAGACCTCTATCACGAGAAAATATAGATACTCTACAAATCAATCTCTCACTGTCTCCAGGTGAGCTCCCAAATGCAGTAGAGTCCTACAATTCAATTCTGCAATGGTTCCTTAGCTGTTTAATCAGCTACAACAAGCCTCATGCACCAGCTGATTCCTACCTGATGTTCCCCAAAAGATGCCTGGAACAGCTGCAGTGCAGTTCCCTCTCTCCTGGTGCAGCATCCCATGCATTAAATGCACTGCTGCAGCCACCCAGCCTCATTTCTCACATGCAGACAAAACAAGGGCTCATCTCTTTGCTTGGGTTGGGCCACTGAGGAGCTGCAAGAACATCCCCAGGTGCATCTGTGGGGTGAGGCACCCACAGTGCTGCCTCCTGGGATGGGGCACAGAGCTCAGCAGAGCAGGGACAGTTGAGTGTCAGCCTCACACAGATCTGAGCAAACACATTTTAGCTCATTTATGGAAGAAGTGCTGCACAGCTCTCCATTCTTGTGCCGTTCTCATGTAGCACAGCAAGTTTTTACCACTTGTTTTGAGCCCTGCAGCCTGGTTAAAAGGAAACAGTGTTCCTCCAAAGATGGAATGTGCTCTGGGCAGCTGAGCTAAAAGCAGAACTTCGTGCTGAAGCTGGAACAAGGTGAATCCTTTACACCATGGCACCTACTCATGGTATAATGTGCAAGCATGAAAAATGAAACCAGCTGAGTTCTGCACAAAGCTTTTGTGTGTGTCTGTGTCTGATGTGCTCTGTGAATCTTTTGTCACAGCTCAAAGTGCTGTCCCCAGAGAGGGGCAATTTTTTCCTTTCCATCAACTGTGCTTTATGGTTTTATTCTAATTTTACAACCAGTCTGTGACAGCTGGTCACACAGTGTGTCTGGGTTGAATAAAGCCCAGGGACCCTTTGCCAAACTTCTACGCAATGTGCTGAGCTTAATGAAATGTGTCAGCTCCTCTGTGAATCGTGCATTCATGGAACTGAATGAATCAGAGTTTTCAAGGAAAACTTAAGGGATACATAACTGCACACAGCAAATTCAGGGAGGGGGAGTGGAGAGAGGAGAGAAATCCCACAGAAACACTTAGCAGCTCTACTAATAGCCAAATAGATCCTGATAGCTAGAATTTAATCAACCTGTTTGAGTAAAGATTTAAAGTACCAGCTGCTGCTGAGGCCTCAGGGGAGACCAAGAGTGGTTCAGTGGCTGAGTTAAAATGCTGTGTCCCAGTGGTCAAGGTTATAGTGCAGCTCTGCCACACACATCCAGCACAATCCCAAGACAGTCGCATAATTTTGGGGCCTTATTCTCCCATTTATACACCAGGAACAAAAGTGCTCTGTTCTGGCTCGGGTTGCTTCTCTGGTCTGTTGAGGTTTTCAGCCCAGCAGGACACTGACCACTCCTGACACACAACCCTGTCCAGTCAGTACCTGAAACCATTTTCATGTTTGGTAGAGGACAGACATCTGAAGGATGCAAGGTACACAAAGCAAAGTGCATAAAGCAAACTGGGTTGTACTCTGGTGAACACAAAAATTGCTAATTTTGACAGAACAAGAGGACTTCAAAAGGTTTAATATTTTCCTGCATCATGTCAATATGTGAAAGTCATGGTGCCATTGCATTTCTCATCTTTGCAGATGAGATCTCTTGCTAGAAATCATTCTATCAGTAAAAAAATTTGTGTATTGATTCTCTGTTGGAAGGAAAAGGAAACAGGAGTGCTCAGCATCCCTGAAAATCATGCCTGGTCTGGGAATTTTTGTGGTCTAAGAGATTCACAGGGGAAATAGGTAAATTGTCACTGGTACCTGCTGTGAAAGAGTTGCTCAGTTTTCCTCTGCCTCAGTGTTTTCCGTCAATTGTCAGCTAAACTGTTCAAAACCAGACCTAGCCGTGTCATACCTACCACTCTGCAGAGTGGGGAGATCTGTAGAAGGCACCTGATGTCCATGGCTGGGCCCTGCTGCAGTTTGCTGTCAAAGTCACTCTGACATTTCTGGATCAGACAAGAAGTTATCTGACCTTGACACCAACAAAAACAGAAAACACACTTGCACAAACATTGTAAAACAGGAGGACGGATGTCAAAACGTGGATGTCCTTTGGGGTACAGTTAAAAGTCAAAGACAGGACTCCTGGGTGTGTTAACACTGCTTTCAAAGCTTTCCACCTCTCAGTGCTTTACTAAAGAATTTAGCATTAAAATGTCCTTTTAGATATTCTCTTTTACATTAAGGGAAACAGAAGATTAAATTACTCCTGCAAACTTTACACTTGTGTTGGAATCAGATATAAACCCCAGCTATCTTTGCTCCAGTCCTTGGCTTTAGCCCAAGGCCATATTTTTTCACCTCTTAAAACAAGTCCTGCAGACATGTGCTCAAGAGAAACTTCCTCTGCAAACAAGAGCCCTCGGGCTGTAATCAAAGCTCTGAACTCTGCCAACTAGCCACGTGCACTAACAATGAAAAAAAATATAAGAATCTACAGCCTTTTGAGAAGACATTCTCAAAAGTGCCCCAGATCCCACCACGCTGTCTCCAGCCACCTTCTTTTTGCACCTGAACCAACTGCACCATCTTCCTTGTCCCTGAACTCTCCTTCTCCTTCCACATCTGTTGCCTGCAAATCTTCCTGTCACCACCTCCTTTTTTAAATGCCAAGATCTGGATTGCATCCCCGTTCCTTCAGACCTTGGTCACTCCTGGCCATGGGGAAGAGCAAACTCTGCTTCTCCCAGGGAGCCTCCCCAGCTGCCCATGGCACTGACCCTACCAGGTGCAGTGTGTCATTTTCCACCCCCTTGCCCTACATGGAAAGGTGAGATGAGAGCCAGACCCACCCCATCAGAGCCTTGGAGACTGCACCAGGGATATGAGATCCCACATGGAACAGGATGGAGGCTGGTCCACTGCTACAGGGAGCACCCACAGCCCTCTGATTTCACCAGTAAGCCTTTGAGACAAGACAAGTCTTGCCTGTAATGCATTGCCTACATCCCATTGGTTCTGGGATCCAGTTCAAAAGAATCCTTTTGGATTTTCTGCTTCTCTCTCTCATTGTTCCCTCTATTCCCTAAGGCTCCCCATCATGACAGAAATGCACTGCTGGTGCAAGAGCTTTCTGTTGTACAGAAAGCCACAGGGTCCTCCTCTTCTGCCCTGAGGATGAGTTTGTGAATACTTAAATATTATCCCAAGTATTTTTAACCAAACCTTTGTGTAATTACTAGCATCTATTCTCACTATCCTGCACGTCATTCTGGAGATGGTTGGGGAGAGAGGCTGATTCTAGGCCATGGCAGCGTGCTCTGTGCTGAGCCTAATGAAAGCAGGGTTTACCCAAGAGGAAGGATTAATTTAAGTGTCCTGTGTCTCAGCTATAGCAATACTTTTAATTCATATGTTTGTAGACAAGCCAACCTGTTCAATTCTAATGACCTGTGCAAGAAATACATTTTTCAAACAAATTCTCAGTAGGATACTTTTCTTTAGCATCTCTGGCAAGCAGGATCTGAGGTGATTTAGTTATGAATCTTATAACTTGCTCTGGAAGTGCCCTTAATGATGGTTAGGCTCTGAGTTTGTAGAAGTGTTTTTAATTACTAAAAGAAGAAAAAAAAGAAGTCAAAACTTAGCCAGCTGCCAGAGCTTCCAGAGGACTGACTACATTCACAAATCTTGTAATCTTTTTATGTTCATTATGAGGACACTACAAAAAAAAAAAAAAGGGCAATCAGATATTGGCCAACAAATTAAACGCTTATTCAAAAATTAATTCACATCATCTGTACTCCATTAGATGTTCTCCTCTGCCAGGGAATATAATGCAATATTTTCAGGGGGAATAGTTGCTGCTGTTGCCAAGAGCTTGCAGTTTACTGGCTCTTGCAGCACTGACGTGGGAGTCACTGGGCTATGGGCACAGCTCGAGCAGATAGTGGAGCAATATTCAGAATTAAACATATGGACCAAATCTGCTTCATTCTGGTGTTAAAAGGTACTGATTATGACCCTGAGAAGCAGCCAAGTGACAAGGGGGAAGCAAACCCCTAAACCAATAAAAGTTTATCTTTCCTTGTATCATGAATGAACAATTTGTTGCAGCTGGGTTTGGGCTCCCCCTCTCCCAGTTATAAATACATCAAGATTTCATTTGAAAATCACAATATATGGCTGAGGGGAGTGGGGCTTAATTTCAGTGTGTCCATCCTGGAACCTCCTAAGAGGGCAAACCTTTCAAGAATAAATGCATAACACTGTTAAAGGCAGATTCACTGAATAATAATTTAAAAATCCAGATTTCCTAATCAATTTGTGATTCCTTTCATAGCACACAGTGCCACAATGCAATTCTCTTATCCTGCCTGTTTGTACATTTGCTAAACATGAAGATTTTACCTTTTGTTTCCCAAAAACAGAGGCCAGCTCTGCAGTGCTTACTGTTGGCTAGAAGTTAGATGGGTTCATGTACAACAGTGAAATTCATGAGCCAACATGCAGTGCAGAATTGCCTATGTTAGCCCATAGGAAATAATAAATACTTAACTTTTGTCCCTTAGGGAGCTGTTGCTACTGGATTTAAATAGCTACAAAGACAATTACACAAGGCAAAGGTGTTTGAACATTTTACTGGATTTGGTTTCTGATCCCTTTTTTGGGCAAACCTTCTAGAGCCACAATAGCAATAATTATCCCCAAATAGTCCTTAATTATCAAAAAAACAGGGTTTTTTTTGTTTTGTTTTGCATCCAGGGTCCCCAATATAGTGAACAAAAAAAAAATCTCAGAGAGGTAACAGCTCTGAGTAAAATCTGGCATCTAAATGGCAGAGGTGGCACTGCAAAAGCAAACTCAGAGATTACATCCAGGAGCAGAGGCAGATAATTCCAGCCACTGAACTGATCTTGAGAGTTCAGCTGATAACGTGGAGGCTGACTCACACTGCACCTCTGATTTAGGTAGGCAGTTCTTGTTTGTGGAACACATTGTTCTTTCCAGATGTTCTATTGCATCTGTGTGGTTGAAAGAGATGAATTTACAGCTATTACAAAATTTGCCCGCGGGCATTTTTTTTTTAATTTTTATTCTGCAGTATTTACAATAAACAAATCACCATGAAATCTAGATGCCACAGTGCCACATAATGTAGTCCCTCATTTGATTTTTCTGAGGTTCAAATCAAAAACAAATTATGTCCTTCTATCGACTTCCCTGGGTACTGGAAAGGACCCTGCTTGCACTTGCTCCCTGTGTAAGACAGATGCTAAGATGTGGCCATTTCAAATGGCTTAAGAGCAGAATAAGTAACAGAAAGTTGTTTTTTTCCTGTAAAAGACATACAAGGTCTGGGGTACCTAGCCCAGCTTTTAGATACAAAAGTAAATTTAATTCCCAAAACAGTTTTGTGTAAACTGTTACTTTCTGCCTGATCCATGAAGATTTAATCTCTGCTCTCCACTATAATGCACACTGCCTGTTTCTCCCACTGGCCTCTCAGATGTAAGGTAAATGCAACAGCTCTCTTTAATGAGCTGCTATTATTCTTATTATGATGCTCAATAAAAATTAGGATTTATTTTCCTGAACTCTTTCCTTCAGGAAATGTCAGCCAAACATAACCCTGCAAAAGCAAACACCATGTTTGCCTTGGCTTCTGGGACGTGCCATGTTCCCAGAACGAGGGCAGAACAAAATATTGGGGCCTAGGCACATTGCCTGGCTTGCAAATTGGGCACTGACCAAAGCTGCTTTGCAGATGCTGGAGGCCAAACTTGCATTCTGGGGTTTGCCAAGTCTGGTGCTTTTCCTCCACTCGCCCAAGCCCATGGTAGCCACCTATGGATGTATTTGGGAAAAGTTTGAGTGCATTTGAGGTGTTATGCTAATATTCTTTGTTATGTCCTGCTGCAATACCTGTACTGAATAACATCTTGTAAAGGTTTTAGAGACACTGGTACTTTTGGATTAATTACCAAGCAAAACCCAGCCATTTTCCTGTTTTACTATACATTAATATGACCAATCAGCAAAGTCTAGTTGTCAAGCAGCACCAAAAATAGGGTATTGAGCCAGGTTTCTCAAAAACTGCTTGGACACCCTGCTCTCTGGTTTTGGCCCATAAGCTGTTAGAAAGAGGACACCCTTATTTCTTCAAATTTCACTGATGGAATAGGTTCATACCTATAAATTACTCCAACTTAAATTGCGATTTTATTTTCGGCATTAAAAATTCCAGAACATAATTCATCCTCTTGTCACTGTATTTTGACATGAATACAACTCCTCCACAATCAGTGGAGCCAGACCAAACTGGGGTGCTAAAACAGTCTTTTAGGAAACTCTCTTTTTTCTAAGTCCATCTCTAACCAGTTTCTACTTTCACTAAGAGGACAAACTACAAAAATTTTCCATTCCATGATGTTTATTATCAAAAATCTCACAATCCAAGCGTGGATTCCTTGAGATTAAACTAAACCCCCACACAAACCTAAGCTAACCATAAACAGGGCATGAAGGTTAGCCAAGTCTCCCTATACCAAGATCTTCAGCTGTGAATGCAGCTGGAAAATGAGGATGAGTTTAAGAATTGTGTCCCCACCAGCTTTCTCAAGGGACAAAGCAGCTTTGAAATTTGATCCTCAGATAAATAAATTTGACTCAGGTTTCAGTTGTGTCTGTCTGAGCTACCCATTCCTACAAATGCAGAGCTGTCAATATAGAGGTACAGCTGCTATTTTCAGGATATATAAGCATAATTTGCTAATGCTTCTGTTTATCCCCATCTTGATTGGAATAGAAAAGTAGAAATGGATGTGTTAGCAAAATGGATAGAATTTCACACCCTTTTCCAAGGGTCTCTGTTAGTCTTGCCCCCATTAGTTTCCACTCTGTGGCCCATCATTAGAGTCCCTCCTCCATGGTGGTGTCTGCAGAATCTTTCAGTAATTTCCATTGCCTTTACAGATGCTGAGATACAGAGTTCCTGGATGCCACAAGAACTTGTGCACTTCAAAAAATCAAAATCAGGTCAAGGTGTCAAGCTCTTGCTTGGTGCTTTCTGAGTCTATGTCGTGACATCTCTGCACATCTCTGTGTTAGACCAGAGAGCTTTCAGCAGAATCACTCCTTCCTAACAGGAGAAATCTGCAGTGTTGTGATATCAGACTGCATTTACCATATGCCACATTTAAATGCAGAAGTTTTCATTGGCCCAGCATTGATCTGAAACATGCTAAGCCTTTGGAAGGAAAATAGAGAGAGAGAAAGAGAGAAAAAGAGAGGGGAAACAACCTCATCCCTTTGACAAGTTACCTTACCAGCAACCAGCTTCCAGGATCCTGGCAGACTGGGAGCTCTCCTAGGGGAGAGAAGGGGGTGCTGAGACCTGCACATGAAATGCAGTCCATCACATGGCAATGCTCTTTATCATTCATATTCTACTCCTGTATGGTTAGTAAAACCCACAGACACTGAAGTTGCACTTTATCAGCATGTTTCTGTTCCTGCACGTGACCATCATCAAAGAGCTCTGCCAGCAGCTAAAGCTATGAACAAGAAAAAACTACCAATAATCCCAGGCTCTGTAGTTTTCTCTGAAGCAGCTTTGACAGGACTTGTTGAACAGACAAGAGAGCCCTGAAACTTTCAAGATGAAAGCAGAAATACAAGCAAAACTGTCAAACTTCATTTGAGTTAACACCTCTATTAAATATTGTGACCACCAGAAATACTTTTCCAGAAATGCAGGCACGAGACTAAATACATAACTGAAAGGCATTGCTCCTGGACTGTAACCCCAGCTCTGCCACTGACTCTTTCAGTGATTTCATTTGGAGTATTTATCCCTTGGTCACACCACCTTCCCCACTGGCAAATGAGCATGAGGATACTGAATTTCCTGGGTGAAGCTGAGGCAAGCGTGTGTGTTCTGACATCTGTTCCTAAGGCAAGTACCATACTTGTGTAAAATAATCAATATGTTCTCCACATGTTAATTCCTGTCTCTATTTTGCTAGTGCCAGCAACTCTGCTATTTATTTTAATTGAGAAGCTTCATACTCCTTTTTCCATGGGTTCCCAAACCATACTACACCTCGTGGGAAGCTGCTTCTAATAAACGCCTGTAAATCCATCTCATTCTTGATTTAAATCCTTACATCACAGCAATTCTGCCACCATAAAACACGATGATGGTGATGATGAGGCAAGCTCGTGAGCTGACACCTCCTTGTGCTGTGCCAAAGCCAGCTGTGACTGCACTGCAATGAAATCACGAGCAGGAGGTGTCTGAAGCAGCACTCTCCACACATGTGTGAGCCAGGGGGTTTCTGTACAGCACCATCAGGAGAAGGCAGCCTCAGTCAGGGGAAGCTGAGAGCAGGTTTGAGACAAACCAGAGGAAGAAGTTTTCCACACAATGCCAGCTGTGGAGGTCGTGACCACATGAGCTCAAAATGGGATTAAACACTTTCACAGGGTCACAGGCTATTAAAATCATCAGCTCAGAAATGGGCTAACCTGCCAGTCAGTGTTCTGTCAGGGGATAGACCACTGAACACATGCCCTGCTCCCTGATCCCTTCCTTCCAGCTCTTGTCACCAGCCACTTCCAGAGAGAACATCAGTTTAGACAAACCTGTGCTCTCACCCAGTAGCATACCCTTACATTTTTAGGTAAGTTAGTAAGAATTGGTTTTTGGCAAAAGATTATTCCTTCTGGCACAATACCATGGTATATTGCTTCTAGCTCAGTGGCAGCTTGCAGCAGGCTCAGTACCCCTGCACGCTGTTTCTTGCCTTGCTGATACATTTTATTTAACATGCACATTATAGGGAGCAGGACATTTGTCCACTCCTGTTTATTGAATGCTCAAGATGACTCTGTGTCAGTACTAGATCCTAAGGTGAGCTGTCAGAGAGCCCCTGTGGAGCAAACACATGGAGGCCCAGCCTCCAGCCCCCTCCATCCATCACCCCAGGTTAGCTGATATGATAAACAACGTAAATAGAAACGACTTGTTCTGAGCAATAGCTGTTAAACCAATAAACATCCAAAACTCTGGAGAAAAAACACTGCTTTTCCTCATTTATCAAACAAGACTCTGTATCTATTTTTTTTCTCCCTCTTCTTAAACAAGTTCAGTTTGTAAAGATTGAAGGAAAACAAGACATCCTTTCAAATGCCTCCTTTGGATCAAACCTCATTGGGTTTTGATGTCAATGGTGCATAGAAGGGTGACCACTGCCAGCACAAGTATTTGGCAGCAGGGCTGTTACATAATACAATCCTGTCTTTCACAGGAGAGAGATCTCTGTGCTACTCAATGTGCTAAAATTTAACCCACTGCTTTGCTCCATCCAGCCAAAACAACCTTGTACATTTTTCCATAGCACTAAACGATGGCTATTAAAAAAAAAAAAAAGGAAAGCTTCTGCTTGAAAAATGAAATGCTCAGGAATACTAAAACCACATATAGGTATTTATTTAAGGAAGTACACGTTTCCCTTTCCCCACCTCTGACCGAAATCTGCTCTGAGAAGGGAGGTGTTTATCCCGAAAAGCAAGAAGGGTATTTAAAATACTTGTACACCTACTGCAAGAAATATACTAACAAAAATAAAAGAAGTGTGTTACTCTCAAACTGTGTCACTGCCTCATGTAAATGTTTGGATTCAGAACTCTGGAAACATAAAATGTTTTCCAAGGCTGTTTACAGTAAGTTTGAGTTTTCAGCTCCCATGAGTAGGAAGAAAATGTCTAACTTCAACTTTTTTCCAGAATAGTTTTTTAGCTGTTCCTGTGTACCCTGTGATGCTAACAAAAAACAGTATCAGCTTTGAGTGGTGTAAATCAGGGGCACTTTTAGTCCCATTCCTAGTTTCTGCCAACAAACTGACATGGCAATTTACAGTGCCAAATGCTGACAGGTGATATTCCCACTGAACCCACGTTTTCAAAAACAAATTATCTTTTCTGAGCCCCAGTATAAAACAGCCCATATAATATCACCCAGCCATCCCTGGACCAGCACCAATATCTTGTGTTCAGCTCATGAATACCCTCCAGCAACAGTGATATTAGCAAATCTGGGAAAGATAAATCCCAGTTATGGGACTTACAGGAACTGGAAGAAAGGCCTTCAGGATTTGCTCCATAGAGAATGAAATGGAAAGAGCCCAGGAGGCCCAGATTTCCACAGTCAGTTTACAGTCACCAATAAAGATTACCCAATGGGACTCTCTCAAGGAGATGGAGAAATACTGTGGGGATACATATCCATACTCAAGCACACTTAAGGGCAACCGTGGAGCAGAGCAAAAGGAAGAGACATGTGCTCCACCCCACATGAAGACATGAGGCATGATGTGCCCAGCCATCTTTCTACAACAAGGGTAGTGCCAGGCAGACAAAATCCTTCTCTTGGAAGCCCTGGTGCCAGCTGCTGCTGGAAGAAGAGTTTAGAGTCATAGGCATTCCTTTATGGAGTGTGGACACAGGTAGGCACAGACATCTGGCACACAGCACACACATTGTATAATGTCTGTAACTGATGGCATCCCCTGTCCTGGGCTCCTACTACAACAACAAGTGGTCCTGAATAAGGGAAGATGTCCACTGAGGTATTTAAGAAAACTTCTGCCCATAAGCCCCTCTGATAGTAAAGTCAATATAGGAATTATTATATGGATTTACATAGTCTGAATTGTCCACTGAAGAAGGCTCTCCAACCACTGAGAGCAGAAGCCCCAGAGAGACCAGGGGGAGCTGAGTCCCAGGAACTGAGCTCACCTCTGGGAACACAGCAGTCCAAATGCCCCAGCTCAGAAACTGGGCAAGGAAAGCCCCATCTCCCAGTGGAGGGTGGGCTGTGTCACTGGAGCATTCCCATTCAGATATTGTGCTACCACGGTGCCCAGAAAAATCCTCCTCAGCACAACCTGGAGATCATCTCTTGGTGCTCCTCCAAACCCCAGCTGAGCCCAGCATGTTTTTAATTCAGCTGTGTGTTCCATGAGTGGCCATTTTATTGTACACAGGGAGGAGCACAAGCGGGGAGGAAGTAGGTGGGAAGTGTTATTTATTTAGCTTTAGGGAAATTTAGTTTACTTAGGATTTTATCTTTTGTTTCCCTGAATCAGGAATCAATTAGCCCACATTACTCTCTTTGTTTAGATGTTGTGTGTTATGCTTTGCTGCTCGGGAATAGGCCTAGAGCAATAAACAAACACTTGTCACGGTGCCTTGGAGCGTGATGGAAAACCTGGAGACACAAACCGGCCAAACAGAGAGACAGATCAGCCCCAGGCTGGCGAAGGGGCGTCACACACGTCCAAACCCCTAAATCCTCCCCTTTCACACTCCACCGAGGTCCCAGGTGACAGATCCCACTCAGAGCACGAGGCCTCGTGCTGCGGCGGCTGCCAGGGCAGGATTTGGGGAGAGGGCTGAGCCCCTCTCAGCTCCGGGAAACGAGCAGCCCCCCTGAGCCCCAAGCCTGGCCCTTCCAGCCTGCCCAGTCCCTTGGAGGGATGATACAGCAAAACCCTGGCTCCCACCAAGCGTTGCTCCAGCCAGAGAGCTCAGAGGTTTCTCTTGGCTGGCTGGCTGACTTGTGTAACCAGGGTGAGGTGGTGTGGGGAGCACGAAGGACGGGAGGCCAGATCTGGATCTGCAGTGCTGCGGGGATGGAGGGGAGCTGGGCTGAGCTTTACTGGGTGTGAGAGACGCAATTAACAGCTTGGAGTCACCACGGCTGTGCGTGGACAAGAGCTGGGCTATGCAGGAACACTGACTACACTGAGAGAGCTGTGGACACCTCTGTGGGCAAGGGCATAAGGAAACCTTCAACCAGCAGCCCCTGTGCGGGTTCCATTCCTCTTCCTGCTTCACTCTAAAGCAGTACCTTTCTTCCCCATCTTCAACGTTTTCTTTTGGTGTAAAGTTCAACTCATTGCACAGACCCCCACTGGGGAATTATTAACATTTTCAATAACCACAATTTTAACGCCACGTGTGTGTGATTCCCTGATATTCACGGGCAAGAACAAAATTGCTTTGATATTTTAGCAAGTAGGCATTTAAGTAGATCGATAGAGAAAGGCAGTACTTACTCAGAGAAAGGACACTGCTCTCTTATGACATGACTGTTCTAGAAACCACACTGCCTGCCAGAATTTGCCACATTCCTGCTGAAATCAGGATATTTATTTTCCTTTGATTATTACAAGCTTGCTTCATGATCTCTCTTTGCAAATGACAGGTACTGAATAGCAATTTTATGAGAGTCCCTCTGTGCAAATAATACAGCAGAAACATAATTGCCTGTCATTCATGCTTGGATATTATTAAACTTCCATCATCAAACAGAATAAATCTTTATGACTGCACATCTAAATGGGGAACTATTTCAACTGCTCACAATATTTTATCATGCAAACACTACAGGCTACCTGCATCACTCAAGATTAAAGAATGCTGAAATGCATTCAAAAGCTTTGGTGCCTAAATCACTCAAAATCCCACGATGAAGTGTTTTAAATCTCACTGAAGTCTACCGTCTCTCAAACTTCCCTTTTTCCCCTCCTAATATCACATTACACACTATTTCTTCCTACAGATGTTAGGCCTGAATTTTAAGTCATATCAAGAACAGCTCTGATCAACCCACAAACATCTATGACCACATTAGAGGGTTATTTGCATGCAGAATATTGTTTGTTGGCTGAACTCACTAACTTCTAGAAACTTCAGGCCACCAACAGAGTCCTCACTTACCCATAAAACTGAAAATATGGCTTTGGACTATGTTTAAAAACCACATGACACCTTTGGTACTCACATCCCAGTTTGGCTTTTTTGCCCATGCCTTCAACCACACGAGAGGTTAAACTCAAGACATTAATTTCAACACTCTGTCTTCCCTATGATTTGGGGAGAGCTGAGCAATGCAACCCACAGGCACGTTGGCTGAGCATGAGGGTACCATGTAAGCAATCATGTTCTTGTTTCTGTGTGGTACTTATTTGTTTTCCAGATAAACAAGCAGCTAGAAATGACCACACAAGAGCATTTTTAAACTACTCTTCCATTAAATAATCCAAATACTGCATTTTAATTAACCATAGATTCATTCTTTGCATCCTTGAATTTGGGCTCCTTTTCTAGACATGTTCCCTTATTATTATTAGATATGCCATTCTTCTTTGCAGATATGATGTTCAACTGTTCAATTTATCAAATAAATATAAATTCATATCCCACAAAGTCTACCCAGCGAGAGCCTTTGCCTTTAGCAGCTCCCTCAGAAATTAGAAACCAGGCTTTCAGCTGGTCCACAGGCACCATAATTTATGAGCCACTAGTTACATGCATCTCAGGGCAAGGAAAGCCCCGCAAAATCATCCTCCGATTCTTTTCTGTAACAAAACTGTTTTATTTAGTCCTAGTTTTGTGGAGAGTTACATCTAAATAAAAGTTAGCAGGGCTTTAGGCTGGAAGCAGATTTGACCCCCACACGAGCAGACATTTCTGCAGAAATCTTCAGTGAAAGGACTGGTAAAACACTCAGCTCGACCAATGTATGAGGGATCACAGCAAGATCACTGGAGCTTAAGTGGTTTGTCGCTAGAAATCAAGCTGGAAGCTCAGTTTCTTTGGGCTTAACAGCCTCTGGAGACTGAGCAAAGATCTCTGTAGTGCACACTCAGCACATGGAAACGCTCCCCAGTGCCCTGCACTGGGCACTGAACGGTGCCAGGACTCAGCCCCTCCTGCCCACACAGAGAATCCCCCGCTCCACCCTGAGAGAGAAAAAGATGTCTCAATAATTCATGAGCGCTAAAAATAAACTCAAAATTAAATAAACAGTTTATCAGGTTGGGACATTTTGTGCTACAACAGACATTTTTTAAAATTTATTTTCTTTAAAGCTTCATTTGGCAGAGCAGCTTATTTCCTAACACAGCCCAGGCACCCTGGGTTACTTCAGAGACGATGTAAACAAGCCAAGTTTTTCAGATTTGCAAATTAGCTACTGCACACGTACATGTAGCATTTGCAGAACAATTTCCCAACACGTACATTTGTACCAAGAGCCTTAATGTCCCTGTGGTGCAGAGTGATTTATATCTGAGGCGTGTGTGCCTGATTCATGTTGTCTGCCCAACGAGGCTGTGCCATACACCACAGATCAATTCTCAGGCTTGTTTTCTTTTCATTTTCTCTATAAAAAAAAAGTAAAAAAAATTAATCAGGGAATAAAGAAATGCAATTTGCCAGCCTAGCAGATTTTTCACAGTGATTTGAATAAATCAAATCACTATTATAAAAGGGCCAAGATCAAGAATAACTATTGCAGAACATTGTTCTGAATCTGAAGCAACTAAGAGAATAGCCTTGAGTCTTGACTCTTTCCTTTGAATA